CTGGTGTGTGTGTGTGTGTGTTGTTCGCTCACCCCTGATGCCGAAGCTGCAGGCGTCCAGAGCCGCAGCGGCTGCAGACGTCACGTTCACCTCCAGGTAGAGCTCCTCCAGGGACCAGCTGTTAGCCTGCGCTACGTACTGACGCGTGGCCGTGATGTAGGCCTCCGGCACGAACAGGCGACCCAGGTTCACATGGATGTTCTGAAACACACAGAGCAGCGTGAGGGAGCGGAGATGAGCTCCTCCAGGTGAGTGTGCACCTCAGCTCTGAAGGTCAAACAGCAGACGATAAGGTCAAGACTCTGGAGTCGGACCTGAGCTTCAGTAGTCATGTCAGTAAATCAGCACACCGTCATCACACACACACACACACACACTGCAGGAGTCAGACGCTGCGTCTCCGCTGAACACGTGTTGATGGTGTTATCAGCAGCAGGGTGGATTACTGTAACAGCCTTCCCAAACACACAGACGTCCAGAACCAGAACATCAGAGCCATCACAGCTGTCAGGTCACTCAGACCCATCTACACTAGACACTCCTGGAGTTCAGTCAGAGCAGGGGGATCTGCTTTCAGCTGTAACAGCGCCCCCTGCTGCTGCAGTCAGAGAGGATCAGATGTGCTCCAGCATCAGGGCTGAACACACGTCTGTGTAGCGGAGCCTGTACTGGATCAGCACCGTGCGGCGGCTCACACATCACACCACTCGTCTCTCTGCTCTTCTATCTCCTGTTCAACACATCTCATCTGCATTTTTAATCTGTTTTAATTCTCTAATAATCTAGACTCACCATATTCCCTACACCGCACAGACCTTATAACACCAACCTCTGAGTAAACACTTGCAGGCCGCAGGAAAGCTGTATGTGTGAGGAATCTTTATTTCACTCGTTTAACCCCGAGCACAGCAGAGAGCCTCCGACTATATGCTGCTGGGAGAATTCAGTAAGTTTGCTCTGGACTATAGACAGTGGGAAGCTGAAGGTGCGAGTGTCGTCTGAGACATTTAAAGCATCGACAACACGCATCTACATTTCACACAGCAGTACAGTCTTCATAGGTGAAGATGATGCCGTCACAAATGACTAAATGATCTTCTGCTGAATAAATGCTCTGAGCTGTGGATATGTGCACGTCAGTGATGATGACCGCATGCTGATACTCTCCGCCAGAGAGAGCCTGAGACGGGCTGCAGACGCTGTGCATAACCCGGTGCTGTGATGAGGTTACCTGCAGAAGAGCTCAGTCCAGACAGTGTTGACTTGCATGAATTTAATGTCTGAATATTTTAAACGGTCATGCTGCAATAAATAAACAGGATATAAAATAAATGAGTGAAGTTATTTCACTTTAAACTTTCACAAAAGAGTAATTAAATATGATTAATTCAGCTTAAACACCATAATGGTGTACTCTGACATCAGCTTTTAGTAAGTCTGCAAACACAGCCCATTTTAGGCAGAGAACTGAAGTCGTGCGTCCTGTACAGCACTATTAATCGTGTACAGAACAACGTCAATATCCATCATCATCATCACACATGCGGACACGCTACTTTCCCATCTGTTCTCGAACACCACCGCTCCAACAGACATCAGTCCAGATCAGTGTTGTGCAGAGAATGATCACAGACACGCTCATCTGGGTATCCGTGACGGAGCAGTGTGCTGAACAGGGCTGGTCTACGCTACTCGTCTCGTTTATTCCTGTTCATGAAGCACTGTGACCTGCCACTGTGTGTGTTTAGTGTGCTGTAGATCAGGGATTCCCAAACTGTATTCCGGGACCCACCTAGGCAACTAACTCAATCTCAAGACCCCCCATAATATTGTAATATGGAGAAACGGGTAAAAATGTCTCCGTTCAAATCAGTCAAGAATATATGGTGAGCGGCTGTTTGGATTTTGGGATTGGATATGCACATAATGAGGCTGAAGTGCTGTTTGTGGGATGCTGGCTGTAACTCTGATCATTTTTTTGTTGATAAAGATCCTCTTCCTTATTTAGAGGAGAATATGATCAACCTTTGATTAAGCCCCTGGATGATGATCAAGCCCCGTCACATCTCAGTAAACTCCACTGCTGGTGTAGTCATCAGAAACTAAATGGCTTATTGATCGACTACTGCAAGCTGGGAAAACGTCAGATAAATATGGCAATGCAGTTAACATTAATGCTGAATAGATCTAATATTTACACATTTGCTGGAGGAAGGAATGATGGGGGTAGTTACATTAATATTACTATTTTCCTTAACATCTATTCTGACGTTTCTGACGTTAACACTAACAAACAGCACTATAGATATTTATTGATTAGCAATCTGTCAACGCTGGGATGTAAAAAATATGGGACAACACATAGCTTCAATACATAGCAAACATTAGAAAATATTGACAATACAATAAGAGGTTTAGCCTATTAAAATCAATGGCCTATCCAGAATTAAATAAAGCTGTAAAATCTGTTTCACTTTTAATTGTATTTGCATATTGATTAAAGTTACTGTAGTTATTTAGTGAAGAGCAGCAGATCAATCTCTCATTGTGTTTTGCTTGATATTAGAGGTGTTCATGTGAGAATGCACAGATCTATAATGAAGCACTCCACTACTTTAGTAACTGTTTGTGCTCATTTAAGAGAAAATTAGTAGTGTTTAAAATAAAACACGCAGGACGGAGCAAATAATAAATAAATAAATAAACTAAAATAATAAGCACTTTCCCGACGGTCCCTTACTGAGAGCTCTGCTCAGCGCGAGCTCTCCCGGCTAAACGCAGATTGTGAGAGCTCAAACGGAGCAGTGCTCATAATGTCGAGCGAACAAAAGAAAAAGACCGCTGTGAAACAGAACCAGCTTTGGTTTTTTGTAGGAAACACACTTTAGATCTTTTTAGGGTAAGAGGTTTTTGAGTTATTGCCGTCTATTGTGCTTGTTTTGATTCACCGCAATGTAAATATAGCTGCAGCTATGTGAAGTTGCGCGACTCACAGTTTGAAAACCCCTGCTGAGACAAACACTCGCCTCACTAGAGCTGAAGAACAACCAGTGTCCACAGCTAACAGACACGCACACACACACACACACTCTGGCCCGTTCCCTCGTCAGCGAGCGGCTCTGCTAATGAGAGTTGATCACCTTCAGCTCTTTAGCGCCCCCGCTGGCGGCGCCCTGTGAGATCTGCTGCAGCTGCTGGATCCGCTCGCTGAAGTCCCCGACCCACTGCAGGACCGTCATCGCCGCCGGCACCGTGTAGCGGCTCCAGCTCCGCGGCAGGATACCTGAGCACAGCAGAGAGAGAGAGAGAGAGAGAGAGAGAGAGAGAGGGGGGGAGAGGTGTGAGTGTGAAGATGAGGAG